TACTACGTGTTGTTTTTTTTTTTTCCTTCCAAAGGAAGGCTGGAGCCAAAATAGTTTGCCTCAACACACGTCTTTCTCATTCAGTGTGTCTCTGGGTCCATTAGCCCTAGCAATGCATGACACTTTGTGGTGTCCATAGTTTGCTTTTATCCTGCTCCCAACTCTCTGAATTGTGGTCAGTGGGTCGGCAGGCACAGACTTCTCCAGTGGTGTTGCAAAAACTGGGGAAACTATTCCTTAGGTACCCCTCTCTTTCTGGGCCCGTCCAGACATTCCCTTTATTTATTTATTTATCATTTACTCTATTTATATACTGCTTTTCTCAGCCCTCAGGCGACTCAAAGCGGTGAACAACATCAATACAAAACATCACGAGACAAGTATAGGGCAATTAAAAACAATTGTAACATAAATCATTAAACATCAGTATAACAATCATTAGCGCCTCAACAGTAAAATCAGAATCTAGTCTCATCATCCATTATTCCGTATTCCTATGTTCAATTACACTGTTTAATCAAATGCTTGTTCGAACAGCCAGGTCTTCACTTTCCTCCGAAACGCCAGCAGGGAGGGGGCCGATCTGATATCTGCAGGCAGGGCGTTCCACAGCCGAGGGGCCACCACTGAGAAGGCCCTGTCTCTCGTCCCCGCCAAGCACGCCTGTGATGCAGGCGGGACAGAGAGCAGGGCCTCCCCAGATGATCTTAGTGTCCTAGCCGGTTCATAGGACGAGATGAGTTCGGAGAGGTAAGTAGGGCCAGAACCGTTTAGGGCTTGCAGGCTGGCTTCCAGCCTCTGTTTGATTATTAGGGTGCTGCTAAGACTGTAGCAACCCTGGGGGAAATACAAAGGGATGCTATTTCAAGCAACTAAGGGTCAATGCAAACCAAGCTCCTGGAAGATGGCCCCCCCCCCCCCCCCAGTGGTCTGATGCCTCCCTGTGGGACTCCATCTTAAAAATATGTTTAAATGTAGAAACAGAGGTTTCAGGAGTTAGGTACCCATCATGTTCAGGGTTCCCGATTCACACAAAAACAGGTAAAGGCGCTTATTTACATATGGGATTGGAACTGTTGTATTCCCCCATTTTGGATCATTTTAGTCACGTTAAAGAATGGGTAGTCTCAAAATGATCCTCAGTGCTCCTTTTCTCACAAGTAATCCTCCTGCATGAAACATTTACGGTAATTAAAAAAAATTCTTCAGGAATTGCTCAATTTGGATGTATCATCACGTCCCTGTGGTTATATTTCCCCCCTTTTTAGATCAAGATTTTTGACTTCTGCAATTGCAACTTTCCTTTTTTTTTAAAGCAATTGATAGCTCAGATTGTAGAGGATTATAATAGAAATGGGCAAAAGTACATCACGTGTGATAGAGGTGACTCTGGTAAAAAAAAAAGCCCTAAATGGTTCCGGTCTGGCTTACCTATCCAAACGTATCTTTGCTTATGAACCATCTAGGACCGTAAGATTATCTGGGGAGGCCCTGCTCTCGATCCTGCCTTCCTCGCAGATATGTTTGGCAGGGACAAGAGGCAGGGCCTTCTCAGTGGTGGCCCCTCGGCTATGGAGTGCCCTTCCCAGGGATATAAGATCGACTCCCTCCCTTCTGACATTCCGCAAAAAAGGTAAGAACTGGCTCTTCGAGCAAGCTGTTACTACTGGAGCATAATTAGATGAAAATTAATATATGGAACGACCGACGATGCAATTGGACAATGATTTTAGTAAGGAGACGCTGAGGATTTTGTTTTTACAGGCTGTATTGTTTTTTATATTGTATTTTAAAGGTTTTAATTGTTTTTATAACTGTTTTAACTGCATTTTTATCATTGCTATGGCATCGAATCGCTGCCGACTGTGAATCGCCTTAAGTCGCCTCTGGCTGAGAAAGGCAGTATACAAATGCGGTAATAAATAAATAAATAATATAGTATCAATTTCCCTTATAAATGGAATGGAACAAAATGCCATGGTAAGAAGACGATTCCCCCTGCTTCCCCCACCTCCCTCATGAAATGAGGTCCTAGGTGAAAAATATGTAAGTATGCTTTTAAGAGAAACATTTACAATTTATATATGGATGTGTGCATATTTAAGTGGCTGAGGGGGGAAAGGAAAGGTCCTGAGGTTGTTAGGAATTGTGGGAATTGAAGTCCAAAACACCCGGAGGGCCTAAGTTTTCCCATGCCTTGTATATATGGTATTCACCTGAAGCCCTGCATTTACGCTGATGCCATCATACTACGAACACATCATGAAACAAAGAACAAAACACCCGGAGGGCCCAAGTTTGCCCATGCCTGGTATATATGGTATTCACCTGAAGCCCTGCATTTACGCTGATGCCATCATACTACGAACACATCATGAAACAAAGACCAAAACACCCGGAGGGCCCAAGTTTGCCCATGCCTTGTATATATGGTATTCACCTGAAGCCCTGCATTTACGCTGATGCCATCATACTACGAACACATCATGAAACAAAGACCAAAACATCCGGAGGGCCCAAGTTTGCCCATGCCTTGTATATATGGCATTTACGCTGATGCCATCATACTATGAACACATCATGAAACAAAGTCCAAAACACCTGGAGGGCCCAAGTTTGCCCATGCCTTGTATATACGGTATTCACCTGAAGCCCTGCATTTACGCTGATGCCATCATATCATGAACACGTTGTGAAACAAAGTCCAAAACACCCAGAGGGCCCAAGTTTGCCTATGCCTGGTATATACGGTATTCACTTGAAGCCCTGCATTTACGCTGATGCCATCATACTACGAACACATCATGAAACAAAGACCAAAACACCCGGAGGGCCCAAGTTTGCCCATGCTTGGTATATATGACATTTACGCTGATGCAATCATACTATGAACACGTCATGAAACAAAGACCAAAACACCCGGAGGGCCCAAGTTTGCCCATGCTTGGTATATATGACATTTACGCTGATGCCATCATACTACGAACACATCATGAAACAAAGACCAAAACACCCAGAGGGCCCAAGTTTGCCCATGCTTGGTATATATGACATTTACGCTGATGCAATCATACTATGAACACGTCATGAAACAAAGTTCAAAACACCCGGAGGGCCTAAGTTTGCCCATGCCTTGTATATATGGTATTCACCTGAAGCCCTGCATTTACGCTGATGCCATCATACTACGAACACATCATGAAACAAAGTCCAAAACACCTGGAGGGCCCAAGTTTGCCCATGCCTGGTATATATGGCATTTACGTTGATGCAATCATACTATGAACACATCATGAAACAAAGTCCAAAACACCCGGAGGGCCCAAGTTTTCCCGTGCCTTGTATATATGGCATTTACGCTGATGCCATCATTCTATGAACACATAATGAAACAAAGTCCAAAACACCAGGAGGGTCAAGTTTGCCCGTGCCTTGTATATACGGTATTCACCTGAAGCCCTGCATTTACACTGATGCCATCATACTATGAACACGTCATGAAACAAAGCCCAAAACACCCGGAGGGCCCAAGTTTGCCCATGCCTGGTATATACGGTATTCACTTGAATCCCTGCATTTACGCTGATGCCATCATACTATGAACACGTCATGAAACAAAGACCAAAACACCCGCAGGGCCCAAGTTTGCCCATGCCTGGTATATATGGTATTCACCTGAAGCCTTGCATTTACGCTGATGCCATCATACTATGAACACGTCATGAAACAAAGTCCAAAACACCAGGAGGGCCCAAGTTTGCCCATGCCTGGTATATACGGTATTCACCTGAAGCCCTGCATTTACGCTGATGCCATCATACTATGAACACGTCATGAAACAAAGTCCAAAACACCTGGAGGGCCCAAGTTTGCCCATGCCTGGTATATACGGTATTCACCTGAAGCCCTGCATTTATGCTGATGCCATCATACTATGAACACATCATGAAACAAAGTCCAAAACACCCGCAGGGCCCAAGTTTGCCCATGCCTGGTCTAGATTGCCCTGTAAGGCTGGCAGCATTCTTCAGGTTGATTATGGTTCATTCCCTACAGCAAATGCCACTTTATATTGCATCCACAACAAAGACGCCTTGAAAAGCCCAGAGGAGTCCGGCAGAGCTCCTCTGACGGGGCATTTCACATCTGGAGTCAGTTCAGTTATTCCACCTCAGAGACTAAACCTTCAAGGCAAACATAGGGTGGAAAAAAAAGAACTATTTGGCAGCTCCCTCACAACACAAAGGAGCACCACACCCGTGACGGATGGGAGACTTCAAATCCAAAACAAGAAAGACTGTCAAGTGCATTTATACTTGCATGGCGCGCTTACAAAGCCACATTTGACTTGGAAGCCGGGTGTGAGGTCTTTTTGCTCTTTGTTTTAGGTCAGGGCGCTCTCCTCTTGGCTCTCGCTTTTCAGAGAAAGCATTGGTTGCATTCTGGTTATAAGAGCAGGGAGGTGGTTGTCTGTACAGACAAGATTCTTGTGTTCAAATTGAAAACTCACCCCATTGTGGTTATAGAAATGGTTATATAATAATAATATAAAAACTTTATTTTTGTACCCCACCTCCATCTCTTCAAAGGAACTCGGGGTGGCTTACATGGGGCCAAGCCTGATCAACACAGTTAAAAAGTAACACTATAAAATGCAAATAACATTATAAAACAAAATAAAACAACATTATAACAATATATAAAACTGGCATCAAAACCAACAACCAATAACAAATTCAATTTATCGTCATGGGTGGGTGGACTGGTGCAACAATAATTTAAAGGATAGGCTAGTAACTAAAGTGCATAGGTCATATGGCAGCAATAAGGGAAAGAGCAATAGTAATGTTGTAGGTTTTTTCGGCTATATGGCCATGTTCTAGAGGCATTCTCTCCTGACGTTTCGCCTGCATCTATGGCAAGCATCCTCAGAGGTAGTAAGGAACTCAATACTGGGGTAAAGGGGGACCATAGGCATGGGCAAAGGTGCCAAGTCTTACCTTGGATCTGGCTTTGAGCTTGAGGTCCGAAGTGCCCAGGAGTGGTTAAGGGTCCGCGGTTGGGATTTGTGGGGGTGACTCGCATGGAGTGCCGCAGCCTTTCTATTTCCTCAAAACGATTAGGGAACGATTTTGCTTGTTCTTCCAACTTCTGCCTGTGCCCTGAAATGGTAAGGGATGCAAATAAATACATGATGCAAATAAATACTATTGAGTCTTTTTTTTAAAAAGCTCTTATTGCACGTCATTTATCTCACTATCGCAGGGGAGATTACGACTAGATGCACAGTGTGCCTCATCAGGCATTATTGTTAGTGCCCAACACTATCTTCTTATGGTTCTAAATCAACTTTGGACAAGACCAACCTGTGGGTTGGGACCCCTGGGGGGGGGTCACGAGAGGGATGTCAGCGGGGTTGCCAAAGACCACCATGGTCATGGGGGTTCTGTGTGGGAAATTTGGCCCAATTCTATCGTTGGTGAGGTTCAGAATGCTATTTGATTGAAGGTGAACTATAAATCCCAGCAACTACAACTCCTAAATGAGCAAATCAACCCCCCCCCCCAACCCTACCAGTATGGTCCAGATCCGTCATTGTTTGAGTCCACAGTGCTCTCTGGATGTAGGTGAACTACAACCCCAAAACTCAAGATCAATGCCCACCAAACCCTTCTCGTATTTTCTGTTGGTCATGGCAGTTCTGTGTGACAATCCCATCATTGGTGGAGTTGTGAATGCTCTTTGATTGAAGGTGAACTATAAATCCCAGCAACTACAACTCCTAAATAAGCAAATCAATCCCCCCCAACCCTACCAGTATGGTCCAGATCCATCATTGTTTGAGTCCACAGTGCTCTCTGGATGTAGGTGAACTACAACTCCAAAACTCAAAATCAGTGCCCACCAAACCCTTCTCGTATTTTCTGTTGGTCATGGCAGTTCTGTGTGACAATCCCATCATTGGTGGAGTTGTGAATGCTCTTTGATTGAAGGTGAACTATAAATCCCAGCAACTACAACTCCTAAATGAGCAAATCAATTCCCCCCAACCCTACCAGTATGGTCCAGATCCATCATTGTTTGAGTCCACAGTGCTCTCTGGATGTAGGTGAACTACAACTCCAAAACTCAAAATCAGTGCCCACCAAACCCTTCCAGTATTTTCGCTTGGTCATGGGAGTTCTGTGTGCTAAGTTTGGTTCAATTCCATCATTGGTGGAGTTCAGAATGCTCTTTGACTGTAGGTTAACTACAAATTCTAGCAATTACAGCTCCCAAATGACAAAATCAAGCAGCTAAGGAGGGAAGGAAGGGGCCTGAGGCTGTTAGATTGGTGTGAGTTGAAGTCTAAAACATCTGGAGGGCCAAAGTTTGCCCATGCCTGAGCTAAATGTTGCCACCATTTTTGGCTTGTTTCTCCTGTAATTCCTCAACAGAGACAACCAAGCTCAAGGAATTCAATTTATAGTTATGTTATAATGTACATTATAAGATATCACAGGCGCCATCTAGAATGATAATTATTTTTTTCTCTCTCTCTCTTCAGAATGCATTAGATGTGGAGTTCAGGGAGAACAAAGTGTACCTCAAACCCATGACAGAGCACTCCTGAGTTTGCCCCTTTCGAGTCCAACAAGGGTGTTTTTCAACTCGGGCAGATATACTATTTTGCATTTGGACCCCCATGACATCACGACGCAAACATGTTAGTTCCCCCTCCCAGCAAATATGAAGATTCATATCGCTACATCAAACGCATGAAATATTTTCCATATGGAGCGATGGTTGTGAATCTGATACTGCAGGCAGTAAAAGAAAAAGCATGCTGGTAGTTTGGGGCATTTTGGCAAGAGGCAGAGAGATTGGAAACGTAACACGGAACGCTGGAAAAGTATCCCTTAAAGCAGGGGTGGGCAAGAGAGATCTCTATGTGATCTGCAGTTGATTTCTGACTTCCAAGAAAATCAAAATAAATAGAAAAGCTCTCCTGCTCAAGCGAGTTTCCAGGAGGGAGGCAGAGGGAGAACCCGAAGGGGATTTCTGTATGAAAAGTCTTCTGATCCTGGTTTGTGAACCAATCCCAAATTCCTGGGCAGAGAATGTGCTCAGATGCACCTTATTCCTCAACACTGAAGAGTATCTCAACCTGTCTGAGCCACTGATTTGCATGTGTTCCTGGAGTTCAGGGCTCTAGTAAACAAACAAACAAACAAACAAACAATGAAGTAGATCTTGTAAGCCTGAGATTCACTTTTCTTCTGCCATGAAAGGGAAACCAAAAGCTGGACTTTGTGCTTTACAAACTTTTAAAAGATAATTGAGACCACAGGGAGGGAGGGAGGAAAGTAGGAAAGAAAGAGAGGGTGGGGAGGGAGGAAAGAAGGAAGGAAAGAAAGAAAAAGATGGAAGAAAGGAAGGAAAGAAGGAAAGGAGGAAAGATGGTTGGAAGGAAGGAAGGAAGGAAAGAAAGAAAGGAGGAAAGAAGGATTGAAGGAAGAAAGGAAAGAAAGAAGGAAAGAAGGAAGCAAGGAATGAGAAATAAAAAAGGGAAGGAGGGAGGGAGGGAGGGAGGGAGGGAGGGAGAGAGGAAGGAAGGAAGGAAGGAAGGAAGGAAGGAAGGAAGGAAGGAAGGAAGGAAGGAAGGAAGGAAGGAAAGATGGTTGGAAGGAAGGAAGGAAGGAAGGAAAGAAAGGAAAGAAAGGAAAAAAGGATTGAAGGAAGAAAGGAAAGAAGGAAGCAAGGAAGGAGAAAGAAAAAAGGAAGGAAGAAAGGAAAGTAGGAAAGAAAGAGAGAGAGGAAGGGAGGGAGGGAGGGAGGAAAGAAGGAAAGAAAGAAAGAAAAAGATGGAAGAAAGGAAGGAAAGGAGGAAAGATTGTTGGAAGGAAGAAAGGAAGGAAGGAAAGGAGGAAAGTAGGATTTAAGGAAGAAAGGAAAGAAAGAAGGAAAGAAGGAAGCAAGGAAGGAGAAAGAAAAAAGGAAGGAAAAAAGGAAGGAAGGAGAGAAGGAAGTAAGCAAGGAAGGAAGGCAGGCAGGAAGGAAAGAAAGGAAGGAAGGAGGAAAGGAAGAAAAGAAGGAAGAAAGAAAGAAAAAAGGAAGGGAGTGAGGGTGGGTCTGGACTAAGGTTCCCCCTCTCCCTTGTCCTTCTACTGAAAGAAAAATGCCTTTTTAATTTAAGTAAGGCTTTAGCAATCGGCTGGCCACTGAGGAAGGGATCTTTGCCTGGTGGACACTGTCCTTTTAATTGATAGGGTTTTAAATCGTTTTTAATTCATGATTGATTGGCTTTTTAGTGGTTTTTAACTTGCATGCTCTTTTAATATTATTTTTCCTGTTGTTTGTTTTAGCCCTTCAGCTAAAAAGGCTCCCACTGCAGTTTATTTGAAAGTTCTCTGGCCTCAGGCTTGCTGTCTAAATAAGACATGACAGACAAGAGAAAGGAGGTGGGACCAAGTTCATCAGATGTTGGCTGCTGCTCCAGAAAATTCACAAGCAGGATGTGAAGGTCATATGGGGCACAGAATATCCTCTAGCTTCTCTTTTTCTCTCTTTGGGACCTCTGAGGACCCCAAAACAGCCCTTGGAGGGTCGTATGTGGCCCATGGGCTGAACTCTGCCCATGGCTGAGCTGGAAAGAGGAGAAGAAATAAAGAAGGTGGCTGGGGGCAGCAGAAAACAAGCCTCCTCTGAAATGAGAACATTTTAGATATTTGCAATCATGTCATTCCTTAGTTTTGTCTTCACCCTAAAACACATGCCCTCCAGCAACAAAGATCCGCCTAGTCAAAGCCATGGTATTCCCTGTAGTAACCTACGGATGTGAGAGCTGGACCTTAGGGAAGGCTGAGCGAAGGAAGATAGATGCTTTTTTGCTGTGGTGTTGGAGGAAAGTTCTGAGAGTGCCTTGGACTGCGAGAAGATCCAACCAGTCCATCCTCCAGGAAATAAAGCCCGACTGCTCACTGGAGGGAAGGATACTAGAGACAAAGTTGAAGTACTTTGGCCACATCATGAGGAGAGCAAAGCCTAGAGAAGACAATGATGCTGGGGAAAATTGGAAGGTAAAAGGAAGAGGGGCCGACCAAGGGCAAGATGGATGGATGGCATCCTTGAAGTGACTGGACTGACCTTGAAGGAGCTGGGGGTGGTGACGGCTGACAGGGAGCTCTGGCGTGGGCTGGTCCATGAGGTCACGAAGAGTCGGAGACGACTGAACGAAGGAACAACAAAAACCAGCTTCTTCAAATGGGGCATCCAGATGATGCCCACAAAATAACGGATGCTTTTGGCACAAAGTAGGAAAAATCTGCTTTGTGCTGAGATTATGTTAGTGGGAAATACGCGTGTCTTTTTGAAAAATCCACATCTTTATCGCTGTGGGCGGAGTCTAGACAGCCCCCTCAGAAAACCTGGGACTTCTGTCAGAAATATTAAAAATTAACTAGGTATTTTTAATTACAAAAATGGGAATCAAGCACTGAAAGAGTTAGTAGGCCAAAGTCTGTTAGAGTTAGGGGACCAAAGCTAGTGTTGTCCTAAGGAGTGTGAGGTAAACCTCTGTGTGAGAAGCCTCGGTGAGAAAGCTCCAGTGTGAAGGCTGCTTGCATGTACAGCTATTATGTATTTGTTTATTTTGTGTTGCAGAAACCTAATTCTTGTAAATAGTGCAACCATGTTATTTTGCTACAAAGAAAAGCCGCCTACGGAAGAGATAACTTTGGTCTGTGTGTGTTTTGTTTTTTTTCTCACTTTGGGCTCCTGGTGCTGGGTTACGTTGTCGCTGATAAGTTACTCTGCTGTGCATTTATGAGGAGGGTCTATTTATTTATTTATTTATTATTTGAACTTATATGCCGCCACTCCCCTGGGGCTCGGAGCGGCTTACAAGAATGACTAAAATCTAACACAATTTTAAAACAATTTAAAAACAGCAATATCAACAATCAAAGGCCTGTCAAAACAGGTATGTCTTACATGCCCTGCGGAAAGCTGATAAGTCCCACAAGGCATGGACTTCAGGTGGCAGAGTATTCCAGAGTGATGGTGCCACTGCTGTGAAGGCTCTGTGTCTCGTTGCTGTTAGACGCAAGGTCTTGACACTGGGGACTTCCAATAGATCTTGGTCCTCAGAACGGAGGGATCTCTGGGGTTGGTAGGGGGTGAG